AAGCAGGGGTGGGGGCTGGCGGTGTGGAAGCCCCTGTGTGGCTGTCTGCTCCTGTTCTGTCTTCCCAGCTCCCACGGGAGCCTTCTGTGCAGGCAGTTAGCACAGTGCTCTGGGGTTGCTTTGAAGGGATGTGTGGGGAGGGTGTGGTGCCTCAGCCTTCTTCTCTGGAATCATGGCCATGAAGGTGGACTTTGTGCCCTTGAGGCTCCTTGGAAGGAGGAGGGGAACAGGTAGATCTGGGTGTGGCAGCAGCATCCCTGGGGACAACTGAACAGGGGACTTGCTAATTATGGTAACTATCTCAAAAAAAGGTGACCTTTTTCTCTGCTGCCAGGAATCAGGATTCAGGTAGAGGCTGCAAACTTTGGGCTGGTCAGATGCATCTCTAAAGATTAAAGGATTGTGGAGAAATAGCAAAAAAAAGCCGAACGCAGAGGAATCTGTTTACCCTTTAAATCACCGATTTCACTGTTGCTGAACCTTAAATTAAAATGCTTCTCTCAAAGGAAAATCACATGGCTTTTCTGGGGTTTAACTTGCAGACTTTGTGTCTAAAGGTCACTTGGCAAACAGCATAAATGTGATGGTAAAGTGCAGGGTGGACAGAGGGCTGAGACCTCCCACTTGACAGAATTGAGGGCACAGGCAGGCTCTCCCTCCCAGCGTGGCCTCTGCACATGTTGGTGTGAGAAGAGTACACTTCTCCCGGTGTTTTGAAATGGACAGTATTAAAGAGCCTGATGTCTCCTTGGAGAACAAGTGGCAGATACAGCATTCCGATGTCTAGCCCCCATGTCAGAGTACTTCAATTTAGTGAGTCTGGGTCACTATTTTTTATTGGGGATCTTATATTGGGCCAGAATGACAGACTTAGATGTAATGCAGGACCTTCCACCCATCCACCTACTTGTTCATCTATCCAACTACCCCTCTATCTATCCACCCACCTATCCATCTATTATCCTTCCTCCCACCATCCATCCATTCATCCATCCATCCAATCACCTGCCTGTCAACCATCCATCCACATACCCACCTATCCATTCATCCATCCCTCCATCATTTATCCATTCATAATCCATCATCCACCTACCCATCCATTCTTCTACTTTCCTCTCTCCCTCCCTCCTTTCTCTCTGTCCTCCTTCTATCCACCCACCTATCCTTTTTTTTAATCTATCCACCCATCCACCAAACATCCACTTATTCACTCACTCACTCGTTCATCTAAATACCCACCCATCAACTCATCCATCTGCAAATATAGGGTGACCCCCAAAATGTATACACACACACTTTGAATAATTATACATGCAGTGCTTATTGAAATAAATTTCATTTTCAAAATTGAGCTATCAGCTGTTAAAGTGTGTATACATTTTTTGGACACCCTGTATATGAGTGACACCATCCACCGTGTACCAGGACTATTCAAGACACTGGTAGAAGTGACCGGGACCAGCTCAGGCCTTTCCCAGGGGATCCCCCAGCCAACTGGGAGGAGCGCTGCCCTTTCCTGTGACAACGGGGGGAGTGGACATTCAGGGGGCACTGACCAGGGGCCAGAACCCAGAAGTGGGGGTTGGAGCAGGCTTCCAGAGGTGATGCCTAAGAGAAGCTGGAGTGGTGTTGGTGTTGGAGTGGTGGTTGAAAAGTGGGGGGTGAGAGTGAAAAGGAGATTGTTCTAGACAGAGAACAAGTGGGAGGCTCAGGAACTCGGAGATGTGTCCCATTAGGCTGGAGCCTGGAGTGTGGTCTCAGGGACCTGAACTCCACTCAGGGTAGACCGTTCCCTCTGACATCCCCGGCAGGCCCACCTGTATTAGTTTCCTGGGGCTGCTGTAACAAAGCATTACAACCTGGGTGGGATGGGGGGGGGGCTTCAAACAGCGGAAATTGATTTTATTTACCTTTAAAATGTACTATTTTTATACAGTTTTGGGGTCTGAGTCTGAAATCAAGCATAGGAAGGGCTGGCTCCTTCCGCAGGGCCCCGAGATAGTCTGTTCCACGCCTCTCTCCGAGCTTCTAGGGGTGACTGGTGATCCTGGGCATTGTGAGCTGTGGCTGCCTCACTCTCATCTCTCCTCCGTCATCCCATGGCCTTCTCCCTGCTGCGTCTCTGTCTCTCTCCTCTTCTTATAAGGTCGCCAGTCATATTGGGTGAAGCCTTCCCCACTCTAGTATGACCTCCTCTTACCTAATTACATTCCATTAAGTATACGTCCTGTGTGGGAATACCACTGCCCAGCCGCACAGCTAACATTAAGAAGATGACAACCCCTTGTGTTAGTGAGTTTGTGGAGCAACAGGGACTCTAATACTATCTATCCTCTGATACTCTCATACCTTCGCTAATGCTACCCCTTATGCTCTCGTTTACCCCCTGACACTGTGCTAACATAATAGTAATGATATATTTCCAGTGAGGTGCTGGGGTTAGGACTTCACTGTCTCTTGCTGGGGCACAGAAGTTAACCTCTAGTGCCCCCCATAAGTCAATGCCATCTGCTAACAGGTCCTCCCTTACCTGCTGAAATGTTCCATTCATGAACTCTCAGTGTGTTGTGACAGACAGGTGTGTACGTGTTCTGCTGGGCACGTGGTTGGAGGTGGAATTGTTGTGTTTGGGGATGTACTTCTCCGTAGGCTGGAACTCCTGAGAAGCAGAGGATTCCCTGATTCAGCAGAGGGGATGCTCAGGAGAAAATGGGAAGGAAATGGGGCAAAGGGGACAAAGGCTAAGAATGGGCCTGGTCTCAGGAGCTGTCAAGCCAACCCGCCCTGGGGCACTCTGGGGCACAGACCCCCCCCTCAGGCCAGGGTCAGGCTTTTGCCCATGGTCAGTGGTTGGTAACTGGCATCCCCATCCCAGGGCAGGCCTAGGCCCAAGCCCCAGGAGTCTCCATGTGAGGGGCCCAGTCACCCAGGCAGCCCCCGGGGTGGTTCCAGGTGTAAGCTGTGTTGTCCTGCAGCAGGTGCCACACCTGAAGGCAAAAAACATCCCATATGCCAGACGGAGAGCTTGCAGCATTTGCTAATGTGGTTCAACCTTGAAGACGCACACTACTTTCCAGGTCGAATATCATTTATTCTCGTGCCTGAAATGTGTTAGCGTTCCCATTGCTCGGCCTGCTCATCGACATGGGTGGGGAGTGTCCGGCCTCTGGAGTTTACCAGGTGTGGCGGGCTGAGGTGGAGTTGCCTCACAGCTTCCCCTGCATGTCCTAGATTACGGATGAGGTTGAGCATCTTTTTGTGGGACCGTTGGCCATTTGGACCCGCCTCCCCTTGTGTGCCTGTTCATTTTCCTATGGGCTTGTCTCTCTTTTTCTTATTGATTGGTAGGAATTCTCTACCTATGCAGGGTATAAGCCCTTTGTCACTTCCATTTGTGTCATAGCTCTGAACAGCATGTGGCTATCTGTCTGGCTGCCTAGGAGGAACCCCAGCCTAGTAGCTGGGATCGGAACATGGAGGAAACTCCCATTGTAACAAGTGGCTGCCGAGACAACACCCCTCAGCAGTTCTTGGGTGGCCTGGCTCCATGGAACAGCTCCCTGGGACCGTCCAGAGAGGCACAAAGTTCCCAGGCTGTGCCCAGCTGACCACAAAGATCTCTGCTGACCGCAGTGGACCCAGTATGAGAGCATGTATGTGTGCATACACATGCTTATGTGTGATATGAAGCATGCCTGGTGCATGTGCTTGTTTGTATGTGTACATGCAGGTATTCACATGTGTGGGTGTGGAATGTGGTATGTGTAAGATATGTGCAGCATAGTGTGTCTATACGTGTGACACGTGCAGGATACACGCTGTGTGTGCATGTATATGTCTCTCTTTGTGTGGGAGAATATGTAAGAACAGACAGCTTGGCTCCCAGCGTTCTCCCCACCCCAGAATGTGACACCTGGAAGGCTCCATGTGGGGGCTGTGGCACAATCAGGCCTTTGTTTCATGACTTTTCTCAGGGTCCTGTAGATGCTCACACTGCACCTGGGGTGAGGGCACAGCTGCAACAGAACAGGCCTGTGAGGCCATGACAGCTAGTCCAAGTGGCCCACGCCTGCTCTGGTGACCAGGGAGCAGAGGGGACACAATGGTGCTGAGGTCTGCTCACCTTGTCCCATTGGGACAGGTCCTGTGTCCAGCCCAGGGTCTGTTGTGATGGCTGACAGAGGTGGAGACACCTGTGGAGCCAGGAGGGGGAGGGCTGAGTCATAGCCAAGAGGCAGGCAGCACCCCAGGAAAGCAGCAGCAGGAAGCGCTGGACAGTTGAGGCATGGCCCACCTGCATGTGGCCAGATGGGTAGAGCCCAATGGGCAGACTCTGTGGGGTCCCCTGGTCCCTGGGAAAGTGAGACCCAAAGGAAGTGAGGACATTCTTTGGGGACCTGGGGCAAGAATGACCATGCAGGGGTGGGTGTCTGGCAGGAGTGACCAGTGTCCCACAGCCTGGAGGGAGTGACTGGCTGCCTGACCACTCAGGTCACAGAATTGGGCTTATTTCAAGTATAATGATAAGCCACAGAGCTCTCCTCTAGGCTGTGGCCTGAGCTGACTGGTATCTGGAAGGACTCCTTTGGCCATAGAGTGGATGAAAAGCCCTCAGACACCAAGGACAGGGAGCCACTTGAGACTCTGGTACATGTCCCTGGAAGGGGCACTTGGCCCGGCAGGCATGGTGGTCAGACACAGGGCTGAAGTCTGGCCACACAGGAGCCTGCAGGGGAGCTGATGGGCCGATGAGGACTCTAGAGAGGCAGGAGGACAGTGTAGGTTGGCCCGAGCCAGCGGGCACCAGGGAGCCTGCAGGCCTGGGCCGTGGGTGGGGTCCAGGTTAAGCCCAGCAGAGCTTTAGGGCCCAGGCTGTGCTCCCTCTGGTCTGGGAGGTGCCCGGTGAAGAACTCAGGAGGGAGTGAAGCTGTGAGCCTGAGGCAGCCAGCCCATAAAAACAATGGGGCGAGCAAAAAAGGGGCCACACAGCCGGGGTTGTCTTTCCCGCATACAGTTTTTATTGTTGGTGATGCTGGGTATGGACACAGACAGACATTGACAACACCGGTGTTCTACATGGAGCTCTCGATGCTCCCCCAAAGGAGGAGAGGACAGACCTGATTCCTCTTGGCCACACTGCAGACAGCCTCCAGCTGACAGTCCGTCCCCCCACCGCCCGCCTCCCCGCCCTAGAGGCAAGTTCCATACCCCCTGGGGACAGCGTCCATGGTAGGGGGTGCTGAGAAGGCCCTGCCAGGCCAGCACACGCAGTGGGACTTCTCCACGGGGCACAGAGCTGTGCCAGAGCGTATGGTCAGCAGCCCCGTGCATCCTGAGGCCGATGGCCGCTCTCCCTCCAGGCAGACGCCAGGTGCCCGGAGAGCAGTCCTCGGCCAGGGGTCCTCACTTGGTTTTGTTAAACAACAACTGGACATCAGCAAACAGTTTTCAGAGACCCATCCTACATCTGAGCATTAGTTTTGATTCACAGGTAAATATGATTTAAAAAATCCATTCCCTAACTTAAAAAGTGTTTTTATCGATGTGATGTGTGCCAGAGAGAAATACAATCCTGGCGGGGTCCCAGGCTGCCTGCCTGCGGGGCTCTGCATGGTCGGGGCCCAGAGCTGGGGATCCACAGCAAGGTGAGCATGAGCTGACCACGGCCCACACCAGGCAGGAGTGGTGGCGGCCATACAGATGCCACAGGATTTGTTTTTCTCAGTGACAAGGACATAAATAGCCTTCCCTTCATACACGGACCCTCGCCCTCCGTGGCTCTGAACAGACGCAGTGTGTAACATGGAGACATGAGCATCCCCGCCCCGCCCCTCACTTGATCAACTTTTGCAGTTCTTCCATTTCACCTTGTGCACAATTAGGCAAAATATGGTATTATTTTTAAAATATGAACAAAATAAGTGACCCAGGGAGCTGCTGTGAGCACTGGGCTCTCACAGCGTGCACGAATAATTTCTGTATTTCTTTTCAGCACACAGATGAGGCCTGTGCTCTGGATGGCGGCTGAGGGTGGGGAACGTGTTACATGAATAGAACACAGTTTTCTACCTGCGGGAATGGGCACAGATCTACGGGGTTACACAGCGACACAGGACGACGGCAGGCCCTCTCCTCGTGGCATAAGGGTGTAAACAGTCAGAAGATAAAGCTCCTGTGTTTCCAGCGAAGCAGAAGTTAAATAGTGGAGCAGCCCTCCTTTCTGTCCGAGCTCGGCTTTTCCGTCTTGGTTTGCGTCTCTCCCACAGGGACGGCTGCCCAGGGCCTTCCTTCTCCACTCCCCGCTACACCATGAGCCAGTGGCGCAGCTGCAAAGAAAATGGGCTTATTTAGAAGTGAATTGAGAAGCCTATGACTGACTGGTAGCTGTGAGGGGTCTCAGCAGAGAGGATGGTGAGATTACAGCCGGGGACCCTATGGGGGCTGGGCCAGTTGCTGGCCAGACAAACACTGCACACCAGCAAACCTGGGGCTGGTCTCAGATGGCATCCCCACAGCATGTGTGTCACCTGGGGTGCCTCCAGACCCCCACAGCCACTCTCCTGGGGCCTCTGGTCCGTCCCTGAAAGGCTGTGCCCTGCAGTTCTATGTCACTTACATGACCCCAACAGGTGCAGGAGCAGGCCTCATTACCACTCGGGACGGATGAGATCGACAGGCCGGCTATTCAGTCTTCCTGCAAATGTCATCGCCTATTATGCAGCTGGGAGTTCAGCCTATTTTTGAGCACAAGCCATTCGATCACACTAAATGGCAAGAACTACGCTTTTTAAACATTTTCAAAACAAGAGCATGCAGGGCTTCTTTCTGACACAGCCACGGCGGGGACAGGGAGATGCTCAATCTGCCACTGGTCCCCTGTAGGGCTCTTCCATCACCCACATGGGGTCAGGACTCTAGGGGGCCGGCAGTGACTGACAGGTGAGGCCAGCGCTGGCAGAGCCCAGGTGCTCTGAAAAGGGAACTGGTGGGCAAGGGAGGCCATGCGTGGGACCCAGGGCCGAGCCCCAACCCTCTGTCCTGGCCACGGCAGCAGCAGAAGGCGGCCTTCTCTGGAGGAAGGTGTGCTCAGGGGCATCTCAGAACTCCAACAGATTAAGATCAAGCCATGAGCTCGTGAACAAGGACACCAGGAACATGGCTGCAGCCCACCCTCAGTCGAGTCAGAACAATAGAAACTTCAGACCCCACAGGCCAGAGAGGTTGCCACTGTCAGATTGCGGGGCAGCTGTGTAAAACGTATAAAAGTGACATCTACCACCTACAATGATGGTGTATTTCACAAGAAATGGGCGGACCAAATGCAGCTTCCAGGGGTGAAGTGAAGTGTAGCTGTCGGTGAAGTGGGATACAATCAGAGAGCCATGCGGTGGAGGATGAGGGCCCTGTTGTGCCAGGTTTACATGGTGAATGTTATGTAGCAGGTGGAGGGAGTGGGCCACAGCCACACACAAGGGTAGTTCTGGTCAAGATGGAGTAATAGGGACTGAATTTACTCTACTATCTGATGTTGCCCAAAAATTAATAAAATATACATAATAATGTGCTCGGCAAGGAGCTTCTTCCTGGAAGCCTAAGCCTCTGCTAGCCACACCCAGGACTTCTTTAAACTAACCAATGACAATCAAGGGACGTGCGCGCCATAGATATGACCACATCCTGTGTAACAAGACACCGACTTGCGCCTGGCCAATCAGCAGGGCCCACAGTCCTTTCTCCTCCCCTTACTCCAACCCCCTATAAAACCTCTCTCCACACAGAGTTCGCTCTCTCTGCCACTTGGCTTGCCGTTGTGTCGGTGAGTGTGGTCGGGGAGCTGAGCTAGCTCGAATAAAGACTCTTTGCTTTTGCATCGAAAAAAAAATATATACATATACATAATAATGGTTATCAAGACACGGGACCTCAGATGACAAGGGACAATGATACTGAGAGAAACAAGCATGGGGGCTCTCAGACTGCCCGGCTGGATGTGTCTGAGAAATCTGTAGGCTGCAGTGGGACCCTGGTGCAGCCAGTGAACCCCCTGGTGCTGGGGACACCACGGCAGCTGGAGTTTTCAGTACAAAGTACCTAGAGGAGAGACCTGCACAGGGAGCCCTGGAGACCACAGGGTCCCCCTGAGGGTTCAGCTGAAGACTCTGTGCACAGGAGGTCTGGGAAAGAGCCACCCAACAGGATTAGAGGGAACAGCCTCTGAAATGCACCCCGGATGGATGGGAACCGTGCTGCTCTACCAGCACAACTGGAAAATCCCAGGCTTGTAGGACACTGGGAACAGTACTCACGAAGGACTTGCTTCTGTGGTGGGAAATAGCCCTACACTGGCTATTTCCTACACTGAATGCTGCTCTGTTCCCACCTAACAAATCCTAAAAAGCAAGTCCCCCAAAAATCACACTGTCCCCAAGTAACTTGACAATGTCCCAGAACAAAGCTCAAGAACATTTAATACCCAGCACCTAGCAAGGTAAAACTCACAATATTTGGAATGGAATTAAATATCACCAGACATGCACAGAAGCAGCAAAATTCATCCCTAACGAGAAAAGTCAACCAACAGAAACTGACATAAATGTTAACATCAGCAGAGAAGGACATTAAACCTGTGATTATAACTGCACTCTATATGCTCAAAAAGTTCAGCAGAGACAGGAAAGCTGTGAAAAGACCCAAATTGAACTTCTAGAGAAGAAAACTACAATGTGTGAGACGATAAATTGCTGGATTATCAGCACATTAGATATTGCAGAGGAAACAAATAGTGAAGTAAAATACAACAGAAAGCATATGAAATAAAACAGAGAAAAAAGAAAATTAAAGTGTCCTAATACATGTAATTGGAGCCCTTGAAAGAGGTGGGAGCAGAAAAAATGCTGAAGAAATGATAGCCAGAATTTCCCAAATTTGCTGAAGACTATGAATGCAGAGTTCCAAGAGGCCCAATGAACTGTAGGTATAAGAAGCAAAAAGAGAGGTGCTGTAACTACACACATGGAAAAAACAAACAAACCCAAAGATTAATCAGCATAATGCCCAGGTGAGTCTCACACACCAGAGCCCCAAAGGGAAACAGAGAGGCAAGAGGCAAGATTTAAGTCTAGCTGCAAAATTCCCAGAACTGACAAAAAAGATGGACCCACACACCCTGGTCACGCAAGATATCCTGAGAGGGGGTTAACGGGGGAAATAAGGGGAATATCTGTAATACTTTCAGCAATAAAGATAAATTTTAAAAAAGAAAAAGAGAAAGGCACACTACAGGGAAACTTCAACACCAAAAGCAAAGGAAACAGGAAAGGGTCCATAGCACATGGCAACCATGCTCCATAGGACTGCAAGTTTTTCAGTGTGATGACAGAGGCAGCAGTGGAGAATTAATGTCTTCAAAATGCTGAAAGACAGTAACTGAAACAGGCGGTGATATAAAAGCAGACTTGAAGAAATCACAATATATATTAAAATAAGCTTAGAACTGAATGATGAGGAAAATACTGTTAAAAGTCGTGGAATGCAGCCAACAGGGTATTTTGAGGAAAAGTCATAGCCTTGAAGGCTTATATGAGAAAACTGAAAGGTTGAAAATTAGTGATCCAAGGTCTAAATTAAGATGTTGACAAAAGTATAACAGAGTAAACCCAAAGAATAAAGAAATAATAAAGACAGGAGGGGAAATTAATGAGATAGAAAGCAAAGAATGAATAGCAGCCTGCACCAAGTCATCTGTCCTTCAAACTGTGTAAGAGGAAGTTCTCTGTCTTAATAGACCACCTTGCCCACCCCTGCCTAAAATTGTGCCCCTTTGATGGTTTTTGCATCAATGTGGCATCCACATCCTGGAAGGATTGGCCATCCAGCAGTCATAGCTGTCATTAGCACCCTGACTCAGCTCTCACCTGATCTGAGTCCTTCTCACAAGGTAGTAGAAAAGGGAGTGCCTGCCAGGTCACCTTCCACTGACCAGCTATGTTACTGTGGGGTGTTCCTTAGTCTCTCCGTGCTTCAGGGGCACCCTCTTAGAAGAGAGAGTGACAACTTAACTCGTAGGATGTAGGAGTTAAAATGTGTCACACATTTTACTCTGTCTCTCAACAACATTAGGGCCATTTCCACAGCTGCTCCATAGCATATGGTAAACACGTATGGAAGCTCATGCATGCTCAGATGGCTCCCAGTTGTAAGGTGAGGAGAAAGAATAAATCCTGCTACAGGCCTGATATGACCCCTACTCTCTCCCACCAGAGCCTCCCTTTATCCCCCCACCACGCCCCCCCCCGTCTCCTCGTAACCCCACCCCATAGCAGCCCCAGCAAGGGGAGCCTGTCGATGTCATCAGATCTGGGCTCCATCTTGGCGCCAGACCTTCTGGAGCCTCTCACCTCCTGCAGATGACCAGCAAGGTGGCCTGGGCTGCTCCAAGTTTTTCTCCCTCCGTGAAGGCAGGTGAGTCCTTTGCTGATCCTGCAATTTGCCCTGCCCACCCTCAGGGCCTTTCCCCTGTGATGTGCCCCCCCCCCCCCCTTGAAATGCAGGCCCTTCCCTTCACACAGATGCCTGCTCAGATGCCACGTCTTGGTGGGCCTCAAGTCAGGTTCCGCCCCTCTCTGCTTTCTCTTTCTCCGCCTGCTGTCTGCACCTGATACACTTCGTCTGCTACCCGCCCTCCTCAGGTCAGGGGTTCTCAGAAGGTGGTGGCAGGGAGCATTCTCTGAATGAGTGAACGAGCCTCCCAGCCTTCTGAGGGCCGTGGTTCAAGGACAGGCTTGCTCTCCCGATCTGTGTGCATCCAGCCGAGGGGACAGTGGGGGCAGCAGCACGCACTCACCGTGAACTGGCGCACCTCCCCGCTGTCCACCAGCTCGCGCTCTTTCTCGGGGGTGATGGCGTGGGCCACTTTCTAGGAGAAATGGAGAGGCCGTGGGTGCCGGCACACACTCAGTAAGGCGACTAGACTCCCTGGTTGGCATGTGGTGGTCAGGTACAGGAGCTGACATCCGGGTCCCCTTAGGCCCTGGAGCAGAGTCCAGCACAAGTTAAAGACGCAGATGCTGGAGAAGTTTTGTCTCCACATCAGCTCTTGGTGGGCTCCGAGGGAAGGTGAACAACACGCACCCCCACTGGCCCAAGTCCGGCCCCGGGGCACCTGAAGCTCACATGCCACGCAGGAGGAGCCTGCTTTCTGTCACATTCAGCTCCAGGAAGCTCATCTTCCTTCCACTTCCTGCCCCAGTGGCCCAGGCCCCAGGGCTGGACAGAGCGACTGTGCTCCTTACTGGTCCTCCAGGGCCCATCTGTCAGCAGCTGCCAGGTTTCCTCTCAGTGTTGCAGCCTCAGAAGACCCTCCCACAGCCTCACCTGTCTCAGGTACTGAGATTTTATGTGGTCTATGTTCAGAGTTTGGCTGGCGGGAGGTAAAAGTCCACTTGATGTAGTTGGTGGCCTCATGGTCAGGTGACCAGGATGGCTAAGGGGCCCTGCTCACATACGCACCTCCCGCAGGGACCCGGGCAGGATGCAGAACTTGTAGGCCGCGTAGATGGGCACCATGGACATGGAGGACGCTGCGATGGACCAGCCCAGTGCGTTGGCCCACTCGGGGAAGACGTAGTCTCCATAGTGCGGGGGCCTGAAGGTCACAATGCTGACCACGACCACAAACTGAAACCAAGGGCAGAGGTCATGCGGCTGCACTCAGCCAGCAGGCAGGGGGTGCAGAGGTGGAATGGGGCCAGTGTGTCGGGGCCGGGGGTCTTCCAGCCACCACAGCTCTAGGGGCCCTGGCCCCGCAGACCAGGGAACCCAGGCAGTGGCCTGCTTCTCCTGCTGCTCCGAGTCCCCAGCTGCTGCCACAGGATGGTGGTCCTGAGGTGCACGTCCTCTCAGTTCTGAGTTTGACGGTGGGCATTCCCTCTGCTGTCCTTTGACAACCTCACACCTTGTCCCATCGGGGGACCTGAGTGTGTAGAGCAGCACAAGAACACCTCGTCTGTCTAGAGTTCACAACCCCACAGCCTCCGCCCTCTGGAGTGCGGGGAGATGGGCATATTGGAGACAGGCCTCGGGCTGCCAGGTGGGGGTGGCAAGCAGCTTCCAAAGGTTCGGGTGCTGCTCTGTGAGAAGCACCGTCATATCAGGTGCTGCACCCTGACTCCTCCCTCTTTCTCTCACTAGCCTCTGGGCTGGCCCATGACGGGGTCAGCCTAAGCTGCCTGTCCATCCCAGGCCTGTCCGAGGTGCCCACTGGGCTGGCTGGGGTGAGGGGAGAGCCAGGGGTCAGGGGGTGCTGGCCTCTGTGCATAGCTCCCCGACTCTGCACTCAGACCTGGACTTGGCCTTGAATGGCCATCCGGAGTCACCTGTCCAGACCTGCTGGGGTAGTTCAGGTGTCGAGAGCCATCGGGTCTCAGTCACAACCACTCAGCCCTGCTCCTACAGCGAGGAAACAGCCTCGGGCAGCCTGTAAGGCAGGGCTGGGGAACCTCTTTCTGCCAAGGGCCATTTGGTTATTTATAACATCATTCATGGGCCATACAAAATGATCAACTTAAACATTAGCCTGCTATATTTGGTCAAACATTTAATTACCTCACCTCTAATGCCTTGGCAGTGCCAGACCAAATGATTTTGCAGGATTATATGGCCGGCAGGCTGGACGTTCCCCACCCCTGCTGTAAATGAATGGCACAGCTATGTTTTAATAAAACAGGCACATGTGGTTTGGGCCCAGACAATAAAAGCCAGGCAGCTGCTGGACGGTGAGTGGTGCCTGTGCCTGGGGAGGCCCCCGAGGGCAGAGTGGTGACAGAATCCACCTTACTCTGTCCTCTGGGCTGAGTACTTGCTGCCCAGGAGGTTTAAATTCTACCTTGGTCTTCAAGGCAAAACGCCAATAACCTCACTCATCTCAGGCCTCCCCACCAACGCAGAGGTATGGCCGAATGCAGGACACACAAGGGCCTTCATGGAGGAGATCACCCTAGATTCCACGTGGGGTCCTCAGTGGGCTTAGCGGGGGGAGGGGTGGGCCACGCCTTCAGGAGGCCAGAGAGGATTTCAGGGACCAGCTGGCCCTCCTGGAGTCCTGCATGACCGCCGACTCCACCTCAGAGACCTGGTCTCCAGGCAGCATGCCCCCCCCACCCCACAGCCTTGGTGAAACCTGCCTGCGGCCACCACTGACCCTGGGGTGATGCGAGAGCTGGGCAGAGCAGGGACGCGCATGGCCTTTGGCCCCTTACCAGGAGGAAGCAGGGGCTGACGAACTTCCAGCACAGCCGCCAGTAGAGGCTGGGCCGCTGCCCGGTCATCTGCTTGATGTCATCGCTAAACTGCCGCACGCCTGGGGAGCCAAGCAGGGAGGTCAGGACAGCACTTTCTCTGAGGCCCAGGCAAAGACTTTGGTCCTTGCTGACCCCCGGGGCCGCCCCAGGGGACCTCAAGCCCAGACTGCCTCCTGTAGGGACCAGCCCCCCTCCAGACTGCCCGGTGCTCTTGCTGACAGCGGTCCCCACACATGTTCCCCATGGTGACACTGGGTGATGTTTGCTCCTCAGTCCTGATGAGGAAGACCGGTGCGGTACCAGCCACTCTGCCTGACCCTCTCCACCCTCTGCTCACCTCAGGGGTCCTCCCGATGTCCCATAGCTGTCCTGCCCCCCTCCCCCCACAGCTGTCCTTGCTTCCCCTCTGCAATCATTATTGGTTTTTTCACTTGAAGAATTGTGGCAAAATAGATATAACAAAAAATTTACCATCTTAACCATTTTTAAGTTCTGCGGCATTAAGTACGTTCATGCAGCCATCATCTCCATTGATCTCTAGGATTTCTCCATCTTCCCAAACTGAGACTCTGAACTCATTAAAGAATAACCCCCTTCCCCCACCCCCCCGGCCCGGTCTCTATGAGCTTGACAACATTAGGACCATCCTAGGAGTGAACTCGCAGAGGGTTTTTCCTTTGGGGACGGTTTATCTCAGCATAATGTCCTTGAGGTTCATTGTGTTGTAGCGTGTGTCAGGATTTCCTTTTTTTAAAGGATGAAAAGTATTCCATTGTATGTATATAGTCACCATTTTTTAAAGGAAAGTATTTCTAGATGACCAGTATTTTCTCCAGGTGATCTTAAAAGGGATTTCTCCTGCCCTGAATTTGCCCCGGCCTCTGGCATGGCTGAGGCAGGTTTGCTGAGGGTGTTGGGGTGCCACCCAGGCTGTCTTCAATGATCCAAAGAAATGATGCTGCCAAGCCTCTCATCTCTGTGATGCTGTGGTCACCACAATAAGCTTCCTAGAGCTAACGTTCTTCCCCTTTCCAGACAGATTTGCCAGGAAGGCAGCGGCACAGCCACAAAGCAGCAGCACCGTGGCCAGGTCCCCCGCCCGCTGAAGCACACCAGCCCCAGGAAAGGTTCCATCCTTACCATAGAACCAGGCCACCCCGATGGCCTCGATGAGCACCCCAAAGAGGATGGATGTGCCGGCTGCAAAGTGGTCCAGCAGAGTGAACACATAGATGCCACCCTGAAAGAGAAGGGAGTGCCCACTGAACTCTGGTGTCCTGGCGGGGCAGGCCTTGACCACAAAAGTGCTTTCCTTAAAACATAAGCCTGGCTTGTGGGTTCAATTTATAGACAGATTCTGTTTTACTACTCCCTATAAAGTCTGATTTGAGTCACTAAAATTCAATCTACCTGCAACTTCTTAGGGACCCATCCATTACAAAAAAAAAACATGACCTCTCTTCTCCTTTCTGAGGGCTCCTGGTGGCATTAGAAATGAAAGCAGCCAAATGCCAAGCTTGGCAGAACCCCTACTGGGAAAGGAGGTGACCTGGGTGCCTCCCTCCAGCCCCATAAATCCACAGGCAGGTGGCCGAGCCAAGGGCACCTCCCAGGGAGCTGTCCAGGCACTGAAGTAACTCTATACCATGTTCCATAGGTGCCAAGGCTACTCCATGCGACCATGGCTATCCAAATGTGATCACTGCTAGCCTGAATGTGCTCGTGGCTACCTGTGAGTGACCACAGCTACCAGAGAGTGACCACGGCTACTTCACGTGGCCATGGCTACCCGAGTGTGACCACAGCTACCCAAGTATGATTATAAATCAAGGGTTGTTTTGGGAGGATGCAGCCTTAGAATAGCTGTGGCTCTGTCTGGCCTGACTGTACCAGTCTTTTGCTGCCCAGTGCTGAGTGCTAATGAGACATGGTCAGGTGAGCTGAGCCTGTACGTACATTGGTGACGCAGAAGAGGGAGAGAAGGAAGGTGACCAGGACGATGAAGAGGGTGAAGAGCTCCCGGTGCCTGTGCAGCAGCTGGAACTCATCAATGAGCCCGGTGATCACTGACTCCATCCCGCCCATCTGCAGCCAACACAGAGCAGGGGACGCGCTGGGGGGCACTCAGGACCACACCGAGGTGCGATTTACATGAGAGTCAGTGGATGTTCACCCAGAAAATGGACATGGAGTGGAAACTGCAAGGTGTCCAGGGTGCAGAATGCCCTAAGGACAAGACAGCCCTCGTGAGGGCTTCTCTTGTGACATGGTTGTTGGAGAGAGAGGACTGGGCTGGATGCTCCATCCACTGGTGGTGACTTTCCCAGCCACTGTGAAGTCCTGGGGGGGAGGGGGG